CAGACAATCAAGCCTATGAGATTTCCATCCTTTAATATCTTTATCTAACAATTCACAATATATTCATATAGATATCAATTAATATAAATAAATCAAAGAATAAAATTTACACAAGTAAGGCATGCTTTGAGTCCTAAACTACCCAGACTTTAGCATTAATAGTAGCTACGTACGGACTCTCGTCACCGTGTGCGTACGTAGCCCCCCACAATTAGCAACAATTATTTAATTTTAATCACCTATGAGGTAATTTCCCCCTCACAAGATTAGACAAGAGACTTACCTCGTCTTGCTCCAATTTAATCCACTATAAGGCCTTTTCCATGATTATCCAACTCCGTCTGGCTCGAATCTAGCCAAAATAATTCGATACAATCACTAAATATTATAGGAATCAATTCTATAAGAAAATACTACATTTTTTAGAAAAGATCCCGTGGGGACCACATCTCGAAATCCGGCGATAGTTATGAAATTAGACAACCCATTCCATTATGAGTCCAACCAAACCAGTTATCTCAATATTTTGTTTCTATGAGATTTCTAAACTTTTCCAAATTTCAATCTCAAAACATTAATTAAATTGTGAAAACAATGATGTATTTATGTTTATAGACCAAATCCAAGTTAGAATCACTTACCCCAATGTCTTTTCCTTAAAAATCTATCAAAAATCGCCTCTGCTCAAGCTCCAATTTGTTAAAAATGGCAAATGGGATGAATGCCCTCTTTTTATAAAACTGCCCAGCAGCCTTCGGAACTGGTCCTCGAACTGGACCTCGATCGCGGCTTCGATCACAGGCTCGAGCCTGGACCTCGGTCATGGCCTCGATCAGGGCATCGAGGTTGGGCCTTCGATCATAGACTCAATCATGGCATCGAGCTAGAGCCTTCGATTGTGACCCTAGATCTTGGGTCTCCATCCTGGCCCTCGAACCTTGCCTTCGATCATGGCCCCAAGCTGGACCTTCGATCATGGCCCTTGAGCTGGACCTTCGATCATGGCCCTTGAGCTGGACCTTCAATCATGGCTTCGATACACAAGCTCGAGCCTGTGCCTCATCAACCCTGGGCTCAATATCTGGGCTCGATACCTGGGCTCAATATCTGGCTCAATATCTGGGCTAGATCATAACCCAAAATGTCCAACAGAAGAGGAAAAATTGCAGCAGCTTTTTAACTCCAATTTTTGATCCGTTAACCATCCGAAATTCACACGAGGCCCTCGGGACCTCAACCAAATATACCAACAAGTCCTAAAACATTATACGAACTTAGTCAAACCTCTAAATCACATCAAACAATGCTAAAACCATGAATCATACCCCAATTCAAGCTTAAATGAAACTAAGAGTTTTTAACTTTTACATTCGATGCCGGAACCTATCAAATCAACTCCAATTGACCTCAAATTTTACACACAAATCATAAATGACATAACGGAGCTATGAAAATGTTCGGAACTGGATTCCGACTCCGGTATCAAAAGTCAACTCATCGGTCAAACTTCGAAACTTAAATTCTTATTTTTAGCCATTTCAAGCCTAATTTAACTACGGACTTCCAAATAAAATTCCGAACACGCTCCCAAGTCCAAAATCACCATACGGAGCTGTTGGAATCATATCAGCTGGTGGTAATCAATGCATATCCACATACTCCTATCTTTCTTCTTCACAAATAATACTGGTGCGTCCCAAGGAAACACACTCGGCCTGATGAATCCCTTCTTGAGCAACTCCTGAAGCTGCTCTTTCAGGTCTCTCAACTCCGCAGAAGCCATATGATAAGGCAGAATAGAGATAGGCTGGGTTCCTAGTGCCAAATCAATGTCGAAGTCGATATCACGATCTGATGGCATGCCTAGTAAGTTAGAAAAAAATACATCAAAAATCGCCCTCACCATAAGCACTAAATCTATCGTGGGAGTCTCTATAGTAGTATCTCGAACAAAGGCCAGATAGGTCAAACAACCCTTCCCAACCATGTATTGAGCCTTCAAGAAAAAAATAACCCAACTGGATGCACTACTAGATGAACCTCTCCACTCCAATCTAAGAAACTCTGGCATTGCCAATGTAATAGTCTTGGCATTGTCTATGGCATGATGTGGAGAAAACCAATCTATGCTAAGGATAACCTCGAAGTTAATCATATTGAGCAATAGAAGATATACTCTGGTCTCAAACCCATAGAAAGTCACCACACAAGACTGGTAAACCCGATTCACAACAACAGAATCACCTATCAAGCATGGACACATACACGAAAATACTCAAGTAATCACGATATACATCCGGATAAGGGGAAAAATGAGAGGATACATATGATTAGGTAGACCCTTGATCAAATACTACTGATGTATCTCTATATCAAATGGAAATAATACATGTGATCACGGCATCAAAGGCTACTCACATTGGCCTAGATGGGAAGGCATAGAATCTAGCTGGAGCGCCACCTGGCCCAGCCTCCACCTCTTGGGACAACCCTTACTCACCTGCCCTCCTCCTTTGGCCGTCCGTACAGGCGGTGCAGTAGCTGGTGCTTTAATCATGGGTTGATGGCCCTACAGCTTTACCTTGCCCCGAAGTCTAGGACAAAACCTCTTCACGTGACCAAGCTCCCTCCCCACTCGAAACAACCTCTAGATGTGGGAAACTGCCAACTCTAGATCTCGCCGTGATAGCCTAAGTACGCACTAGAGGAACCTTGAATAGCCGGTTGATAATAGGTAGTCTTAGGAATAACGCTGAAGTACGGCTGCGCTGGAGCACCCCGAATAGGTTGCGGTGCTAAATACATTAGCCTGCTAGGATGGCCCATCCAAACTGTCCTTTGCCCCCGGACGGGGCACCAGTGAAACCTCTAGAATATCGATGTTGTCTTTCCCTCTATGTGGCCTCTTTTCTCTAACCACAGATATGCTCGATCCTCCAAGCTATCTCCACAGCTTGGTGGAAAGAAGTCCCCAACTCTGCCTCTCGGGCCATAGTGACTTGAATCCCATAGTTCAATCCCAAAAAAACCTATGCACCCTCTCTGCCTCCATGGGAAGTAATATCACTACATGATGAGATAACTCACTGAAACTCGTCTCATAGTTGGTCACAAACATCTAACCCTATTGGCTATTGGAACCACTCAAACTGACCCCATAACTACTACCTCCGGGAGGATGGAATATAATTCTCCAAGAGGATGTGCGTGAACTGATCCCAAGTCAAGGGAGGTGAACCTGTTGGCCTACCCAAAAGATATGATTACCACCATCTACGGGCTTTCCCCCCAACTGAAAAATGGTGAAGTCTACCCTATTGAACTCTACTAGTCCCAAATTATGCAGCATGTCCCTACAACGGCAATGAAATCAAGTGGGTCCTGTAATGGCTCACCGCCAAATTGGGAAGGATGAAGCCTAGTAAATATTTCCAGCTGCTTTTGCTCCTCGATGGTCATGGCCAGTCTAGTCTCTGCTCTAGCACTACAACCGACTAAACTCTACCCGCAGGTAGTACCCTTGGGTCTGATAAATAGCAGCAATGTGCCCTAGCATATGAGCAGTAGGGGTCTTGGCTCCCCCTCCAACTTGAGATATGACCAAATTTGCTGGTAATAGTCCGACCTGAGTCATAGAGTCCATAAACCGTAACATATGGCCTATGATCTCCTAAAAACTAGTGCGAGTGTGAACTCTATCGGGGCCTGCTTAACTGTAGGTATCTCATCCTACTGCTCAATAGTAGGATCAACCACTAGATTCACTGGTGGTGCCATTGGGCTACTCTAGGACTCCCGCGTCCGCCAACAGGAGCTCTATCCCTTGTTCGCACTTTGCCTCTACCTCTGACGACCGGTGGTGCAACCCCTTTGCTGCTGGATGATTCCATCGTGCGTGATCTCACCATCTGTGAGAGAATAGGAGAAAGATTTAGTCTTAGAACAACATCGACATCACGATAGAAAATGAAGAAAGAGAAGTTTCCTAACACCCTATAGTCTCTCGAAAATAAGTACAGATGTCTCCACATCAATTCGAAAGACTCTACTAGGTCTACTCACGACTCGTGAAACCTATGTGAATCTAGTGCTCTAATACCAAGTTGTCATGACCTAATTTCCCACCACAGGCTATGATGGCTCCCAACGCTACCGTCAGGCAAGCCAACAATAAATAAACAAGCCTAAGTAGATTTAGAAATCATGATAAAATAAAAACATCTTCGCGAAGATACGAAGCATGAATAAAAAACATAAAGCTGAATGATATAACTGCACATACAACCATGAACATCTTTCAAAAATCCCCAAAATCCGGTGTCATAAGTGCATGATCATCTACTAGAATATACAAAACCATTGCAACTATTGTCTAGAGTGAAAGTAGAAAGAATACAATAAATATAGAGGAAGGAGACTCATGGTGTTGTGGGTCGAAGCATAGAAGGCAGCTCATCACTAAGTCTCCCTGTTGGTACGCCTATGTGCCAGTGTGACCACCAGATATACATGTCTCAGTACCTGTACAATTAGTGTAGAAGTGTAGTATGAGTACGTAACTCAAAGCATACCTAGTAAGTACCTAGTTTAACCTCAAAGAAGTAGTGACGAGGGGTCGGCATCGACACTTACTAGTGATCCAATAATCAATATACATAAAAGAGGGTAGACGGGTAAGAGACATGGCAAGTAGCAGTAAAATAGATTATTATGTACAACATGTATTTCAATAAAAGAAACAAGTACAAATCCATCAAGATACACAGGTACGCAAGGACTACCTATCAAGATATTTCACATAACCCTGTCGAGGCGAATGGCCCGATCCCATAAGAATGGTGTTACATATCCCGCTAAGGCAAATAGCCTGATCCCATAAAAGTAGTATTACATGATACTGCCGAGGCGAACGGCCTGATCTCATAAGAGTATTACTGAGGCAAACAGCTTGATCCCATAAGAGTGGTGAAACTTCCAACGCGTCACTAGTCCAACTCATGAAGACATACTTAAAATCGCACCACAAACCAAATTAATCAATCTTCCAAACTTCCAACTTCTTTCAACTAACTCTGAACACGTCGAATCATATTTAGACAATCTGGATTATAACCAAATTTCACACACAAGTTCAATATGACGATACGAACCATCCCCAGGCACAAAACACCAAACGATCACCAAAGTCCACTCCAAGTCAAATAAGCAAATTCTAGAACCTTCAAAATGCCAAGTTACAATAATAAGAGCCAAATTGCTCCCGGGCCACCCTCTATACACACATATAGATAAGTCCAAAATTATCATACGAACCTATTGAAACCTTCAAATTCCAATTTCGACGTCGTTTACTCAAAATATTGACTTAAGTCAAACTTGGCCACCTTAGGCCACTGTTATCGAATTAAATGTTCTGAATTGAACCCGAACCCTTCCAAACCAAACCAACCGACCCTGATAAAATAGAAAAAAGCACATACAAAAAGTCTCAAATTGGGGAACGGGATTCTTGAAAGTAAAACAACCGATCGGGTCGTCGACCACAATTGTCTACATAGCCCAAAACATTGTATCATAACTATGACAAGCATCTAATAAGTGTATGAATGTAAACTGAGCAACAATGTATGTCTGAAGGAAACAAATAGACTGAATAGATAAGAATGAAGAGGAACCCCATGTGCTGCGGATCGGTCAAGTAAAGCAGCTCGCCATGAAGTCTCCTATATTTCTCCTACGCAACCGAATGTAAACCCCCAATACCAACCTCAAAAATTGCAAAACAATGTACAGAAGTGTAGTATAAGAAAAAAAAACCACGGTATCAAGTAAGTATCAAGTGTAACCTCGAAGAAGTAGTGGCGATTGGTCGACATCGACACTCACTATCAGTCCATAATCAGGTGAAACCATAAATAATAAATAGACTAAAGCATGGCATCATCAAATAAGTACGAAAGTTCAAAGAAATATAGATCATACAGAATTTAGGAATGCTTTACAGATAAGGGGATCAATTAAGTTATCAACACCTCAATCCTCACATCAAGACATGATATATGTCANTGCATGATCAGGATTCCTTTCTCAATAACTCAATACAAATCTGTGTGCCTGACACAGACCATATGTCCAACAAGCACCAAACAATTCTTGGTGCCTAGGCTCACAGGGCCCAAAGTAACATAGGTTATCACTTGACTCCAGAGGGACAGGCCCATATCCAAGCGTTTGATCATTTTACAATAAATGATCAATAATCAATCATCAATATCCACTCAAAGTGGTTGTAGTGCCAAATCATCAACTTTTCTCAATAATTAAATCTCCACTAATGCATATGTGTACGAAACAATAGAATAAAGAGTATCAGATATCATAAGATGAATGCGGATAAAAGCTCGTATGGCTAAAAGATGGATATGGATAATCATGCAATTCAATCTATCATAATCGCTCAATAAGATACATGGCGTGCACAAGTGTAATCATCTTGGTTAACATGAGTCATTTAAGCCCTAGAAACCACCAAATCAAGGAGAAAATAAGACAAGTGTATGACTATGGATTAATAATAAAGCTCAACATGGCAAAACAATCCTTGAAGCCTAAATCAACAAGTCATAACCTTAAACATGCTCCTAAATCATATCTATGAATTATCACGTAGTCATAGAATTAATTGAAACATGGATAATAACTTCACATAATCCAAACAAGACATAACTCAAGTCAATAATACCGGATATGGTCAAAACCTAGCTATGCATATACACTCGTCACCTCGCATATATATGGCTCCTAAATCACGCAACAAGTAGAAAATAGAAAACCTATAGGGAGAATTCACTCTTACAAGGATAGACAAGAGACTTATCTCCACCCGGTAAGCTTCAACCTTCCAATATAGCCTTCCCTCCAAATCAACCTCCATACAACTCAAATCTAGTGAAATATAACTCAACAATGTCAAACAAAACCATAGGAATCAATTTCAAATAATAAAGATTCAATTTTAATCAAATCCCAAAAAGTCAACAAAAGTCAACCAATACCCACATGGTCAAAACCTGAGTCAAGGGGTAGATTTTGATTACCCATAACACCATAAGTTTAAATATTTTATTAGATTCCAAAACTGAGTCCAAATCGACCCCAAAATTCCCAAATTACATTCTCTTAAGTAGTAGACAAAACTCACAAATTTTACTTTCGATTTTCGTATTTTAGGTGTAGAATTTAATAGGGAATCAAGATATATAACCAAAATTACCCTCAAAATTATGGTGAAAATTCCTTCCAAAATTGCCTCTAATCGAGCTTCAAAACTCAAAATAGTAAAAAAAACAAAAAGAGCTAACCCTCGAAATTAAAAAGTCTGCCAGTGAATCCGCATCCGCGGTCCAAATCGTCGCATGTGCAACATCGCTTTTGTGGTCCAAGGATCGCATCTCGAGCTTCACTTAAGCTGCCAGCAATCGCATCTATGGCATATCTGTCGCATCTGCGACTACGCAGGTGCGACCAACCTTCGCAAGTGTGCAATCCCCAGGCTTT